CACTCACAAGCAAAGGCCAGCTCATCTGGAAACATTAGAGTTCTTACCTGTTGACGTGGCCAAAATGGATGATGGTACATTGTACGTGCTACAAGTTTTTGTGAGTGGGAAATTTAAAAAGTACAATATGAAGAATGGAATAGTTTGCCTTAATTTACCTGGCTCAGATGTAATGCAAGCCTTCAGCCACTTCTCTTATGTCCACTCGGGAGAGTCATTGCTCATATGTGACCTTGAAGGAATCAAAACCGGCAATAGGTTTCAACTGACCGATCCAGCAATACACAATCGTACCAGACCAAATTATTACGGGAGCACTGACAGTGGATTCATTGGGATTAAGAGGTTCTTTAAGAGTCATTCCTGCAATGGAATATGTCGTCAAATGGGGCTTGAAGGAATAAAGGCATGAAGATAACCTTTTTTGTAGTTAATCATTAGACTCAGACTATAATAGTTAACACAACTTATGTATAATTATGTCTAATAACTTTATTTAGAAATAGAACAAGACAAAATACAATATTTATTATTTATACATTTACTATGTTTATTTGGGCATTGTTTTGAGTTAGTAGTCTAGTTAATCTTCTTCTTGTGAAAGGCGGCGATACTTGATAGGGAGACAAGGGAACAGATAGTGCCAAAAGGTTTTTTGCTCTTGTTTCTGTTTTCTCTCCTCCTGTTGTTCTTGAACTTTAGGATATTCGTATCCCACACGAACTCTTGGTCCTCCTTGATTAGGATTATTTGGTATCTGAACATCAACTGTAGGCTGGGGATATTGAACCATAGCAGCTGGGTGGTAGTACCCATACCCACCATTGCAATAGTAGCCATCATTCAAGTGGTTCCTCAACATATGAGACCCAGCCATACCTAACAGATGAAGTGCCATGATGGATGGATGATGCTATCAAACCAAAAGAGAGAGAGAAAGACTGAAATCAGTTGTTGCTTGAAATGAGAGCAAAGAAAGATGAACTAAAGTAATAACAGGAAGGAATGCCCAGTAGACTAGTAGCAATTACTGTACTGTGTACTGCTAATAATTCCCTTTTTGGTGAACTTCCTGCATATCTTTGTGTACATGTTTACACTCAATGTGGGCTGTAATCATACCCTGGATACCATACAAGAAGCATGATCTAGTCTATCTATACTAGACAATTAGTCTACCTGTTTAGATAACCAGTTTTGAATCTTTTATGGCTGCATGTAATTTGTAAATGTTCTCAATATGAGTATATTCATAGAGGCAATAGTAGATGCTATGATTTGATTTTAAACAGCTAGAAAGGCATATCTATTGATAATGCTGACTTGTATTTTGACTGATATTCATTTAATTTCTGATCTGCAAAGGAGTGGCTCAACATGAAGCTAGCATTGACCTTTTTCGTTTTAGCAATTATAGCAACTTGTCAGGGTCTTTATCCTAAGGACTCTCCCAGCAGGCTACTAAAGGACCTGGATGGTATATGGCACTTTAAGATTGATGACTCACTATCAAGGAATGAAGGATTTGATGATGAATGGTACCTAAAGCCAGTAAGTTTTGTTTGCTATAGCTAAATTTTTTTATTTATTTATCTTATTTCATTTCAAGCTTACTGACACCATTCTGATGCCAGTCCCTGCCAGTTATAATGACATCACTCAGGATAAAAATATCAGAGACTTCATTGGCTGGGCTTGGTATGACAGGAACTTTTGGGTACCTGGTTCTTGGTTGGATGGTAAAACACGTGTAGTGTTGAGATTTGAGAGTGCCCATTACTACACTATAGTGGTAAGTGTATATGTACACAATGAATCCCATGCAGCTATCTTAACTTGTAGTGGGTCAATGGTAAACAAGTGATGACACATGATGGAGGTCACTTACCATTTGAGGCTGATATTGCTGAACACCTAGAGGAAGGACAACCAAACAGAGTAACTGTTGCTGTTAATAATACCCTCAATGCTAACACTTTGCCTCCTGGTTCTGTTAAATATTACAGTGGAGAAAAGTATGACAGCAAATATAATATTATATATACTCTGACTTTATATTAGGTATCCACCAAATTACTTTACTTTTACCGGACAATTTGATTTCTTTAATTATGCTGGTATTCAACGTTCAGTAAAACTCTATACCACTCCCAAGGCATATATATCTGATATCAGTGTTGTTACTGAACTGGAGGAAGATGGGAGTGCTAGCGTTGCATATACAGTAATGATAGGAGGAGTAGAAGGAAATAGTGAAGCAAGTTATGAAGTCAGTCTATCAGGAGTGAAAGATTCAGGTACTCTCATACTGCTATTGTCATCCATTATTATAATATGTAGGAACTGTAACTGATGGGATTGCTAAAGGTACTCTTAAGATTACCGATCCTACCCTATGGTGGCCTTGGACTCTTAGCTCTACTCCTGGAGCTATGCAACCATTCCAAGTATTAAACTGTGTAAATTTTTAATTTTATGTATTTAGGTAAAAATCACTACTGATGGTGTTACTGACATGTATATACAATCTGTTGGTCTGAGGGAGGTTGTAGTGACAGAGGATCAGTTTCTCATTAATGGCAAACCATTTTACTTTCATGGTGTGGACAAACATGAGGACTGGGACGTAAGACAAAGTATAAACAATGACTGATTTCATTTGTCTGTAACAGATTGTTGGTAAAGGCATAAACGATGCTCTTCTCATGAAGGACATTAATTTACTTAAGTGGATGAATGTGGCTGCTTTCAGGACCAGTCATTATCCTTATGCTGAAGAAATGCTTGACCTCTGTGACAAGGAAGGGATTGTGGTCATTGGAGAAAGCCCTGCAGTTGGATTACACGAGTAAGTAATGCACAATACTAATTTTTATTAATATTTTATGTGCAGTGAGGATAATTTTGGTAATGCAACACTGATGCATCACTTTCAGGTGATGAGAGAAATGATTGATAGAGATAAGAACCATCCATCAGTTGTGATGTGGTCAGTAGCTAATGAGCCTGCATCTGACCTTCCGGTTGCTGAAAGATATTTCCAGTAAGCTTATATTATAAATGAAAGTAAAATAGATACTTTTCTCTAAAGATCTATTGTAGAAGTTACACATACTCTTGATGCATCCCGCCCTATTACATTTGCTTGCAATAAAGACTATGATTCTGATAGAGCAGTAAGTTATGGCTATACAATTGGTACACAAATTTATTTCAATATTTGTATAGACACAGTTTATGGATGTAATAATGCTTAATCGCTATTACGATTGGTATGATAACGGTGGACATCCAGAAGTTGTGCCATATGCCCTACGCTATGATCTTGGGCAATGGAGACAAAGGCAGAAGAAGCCAATCATGATATCAGAGTATGGAGCAGGGACAATACCAGGGATACACAAGGACCCTCCAGTAATGTGGTCTGAAGAGTATCAAGTACATGCACACACATTGACTGAGTATTAATTATACTGCCACTACAGGCTGAAGCACTGATGGCTTATTGGTCTGTGTTTGATGATTATCGTAAATCTTTCTTCATTGGTGAGCTAGTATGGAACTTTGCTGATTTTGAAACTGCTCAATGTAAGATATAACAAAGAACAGAACCAATATATTAATTGTCATTTTTATAGCATCTAAGCGTGCTGATGGTAATCACAAAGGTCTACTGACACGTCAGAGGCAGCCAAAGTTAGCAGCACGGGCCGTTAAGTATAGATATGAGGCACTAGCTGAAGGAAAAGACTATCATCCTGAACAGATTCCAGTTTGATTGCTGTGCATTTAATGATTGTAATCTGCTGCATGCTGCTTTTTTTGCTGAAGCTATTTTAATGATATTCATTCACAAAAGGGTGGGGCTCAAGATGAAGCAAGCAATAACTTTACTGATCTTAGCTGTAGCATTTCTATCAACTTGTCAGGGTCTTTATCCTAAGGACTCTCCCAGCAGGTTACTAAAGGACCTGGATGGTATATGGCACTTTAAGATTGATGACTCACTATCAAGGAATGAAGGATTTGATAAAGAATGGTACCTAAAACCAGTAAGTCAGTAATATTATCAAAGTAAGCAATGAGTTACTCACTTTTACAGTTAAATGACACCATTCTGATGCCAGTCCCTGCCAGTTATAATGACATCACTCAGGACCACAAAATTAGAGATTTCCTTGGTTGGGCTTGGTATGACAGAAACTTTTGGGTACCTGGTTCTTGGTTGGATGGTAAAACACGTGTAGTGTTGAGATTTGAGAGTGCCTATTATTACACTATAGTGGTAAGTGTATATGTACACAATAAATCCCATGCAGCTATCTTAACTTGTAGTGGGTCAATGGTAAACAAGTGATGACACATGATGGAGGTCACTTACCATTTGAAGCTGACATTGCTGAGCACCTAGAGGAAGGACAACCAAACAGAGTAACTGTTGCTGTTAACAATACACTTACAGCAAAAACTCTACCAGTTGGTTCAGTCACCTATCACAATGGAGAGGAGTAAGTATTTATATGAAAACATTGTGATCAATCTTAATTAGGTATCCTCCAAATTATTTTACATTCACTGGTGATTTTGATTTCTTTAATTATGCTGGTATTCAACGCTCAGTAAAACTCTATACCACTCCCAAGGCATATATATCTGATATCAGTGTTGTTACTGAACTGGAGGAAGATGGGAGTGCTAGTGTTGCATATACAGTAATGGTAGGAGGAGTAGAAGGAAATAATGAAGTAACTTATGAAGTCAGTCTATCAGGAGTGAAGGATTCAGGTACTATCATACTGCTATTGTCATCTATTATTATAATATGTAGGAACTGTAACTGATGGAATTGCTAAAGGTACTCTTAAGATTACTAATCCTACCCTATGGTGGCCTTGGACTCTTAGTTCTACTCCTGGGGCTATGCAACCATTCCAAGTATTAAACTGTGTAATTTTTATAGTTGAATATATTTAGGTAAAAATCACAACTGATGGTGTTACTGACATGTATATACAATCTGTTGGTCTGAGAGAAATTACAGTGACAGAGGATCAATTTCTCATTAATGGCAAACCATTTTACTTTCATGGAATTGGCAAGCATGAAGACTGGGATGTAAGATGTTATGACTGTGACTAACTATATTCATCATAAGCCCCACAGATTATTGGTAAAGGTATTAACGATGCTCTTCTCATGAAAGATCTCAATGCACTTCTTTGGCTAAATGCATCAGCATTTAGAGCCACTACCTATCCCTTTGCAGAAGAAATGCTGGACCTAGCTGACAAAGCAGGCATTGTAGTTATTGGAGAAAGCACTTCAGTTGGACAGAAAAGGTAGTATTCTAAAATTGACATATTGGATCCATTTTGTCTTACAGTGTGAGTAATTTTGGCAATGAGTCATTAGCACACCATCTCCAAGTGATGAAAGAATTGATTAACAGAGACAAGAACCATCCATCAGTTGTATTGTGGTCTTTAGCTAATGAACCAGAATCATCTCTCTCTGTTGCTGAAGAATACTTTCAGTAAGAAGATTCTCATGGATAAATTGTAGATTAAGAATAATATTTTAGGACTCTTGTTGAGGCTACTCATACTCTTGATCCAACACGTCCTGTATCATTTACGTGCAATTTGGATTACAACAATGACAAAGTGGTAAGTACAGGTACCGTAGTTTCTATGCTATGTAAATGCACCTAGTTCAAACACATGGATCTCATAATGCTTAATCGATATCTTGACTGGTATCAAAACGGAGGACATCCGGAGGTTGTGCCATATGCTCTACGCTATGATTTAGAGCAATGGAGGAAGCTGTACAAGAAACCAATCATGATATCAGAATATGGGGCTGGGACAATACCGGGATTCCACAAGGACCCTCCAGTCATGTGGACTGAAGAGTATCAGGTCATTATAATCATAGAGAACCACTTTATATGCTACATGTGTATTGTATTGTGTATAGGTTCTAGCACTGTCAGCTTTCTGGCCAGTGTTTGATGAATACAGGAAATCTTTCCTAATTGGTGAAATGGTTTGGTCCTTTGCTGATTTTGAAACAGCTCAATGTAAGCACTGGTTTCATTTGCAGTTATATATTATGTAGTCTACATTTCATAGCAACTTCACGCACCGATGGCAACCACAAAGGTCTACTGACACGTCAAAGGCAACCAAAACTAGCTGCTCATGTTGTAAGGGAAAGGTTTTCAGCATTGGCTGAAGGAAGAGACTACCATCCTGAGAAAGTATCAGTAAAATAGTGATTGGATATATGCTGCTATAAAAGCTACACATATTGCTGTTTGCTTTATAAGTATATCTACATGGCTGCTGATCAATAATTCAATTTGTATAGATTATCTACTACTATTAACAGTTTGTTCATACCTCTTTTACACTTCTCAATAGTAAGGAAGAGTAAGGAGCAAACAACATAGCTAATAGAGTACTGCTAAAATGCAATTTTCCCTCTCTTATGAAATAAAATCTTATTAAAAATAAACAAAATATGTGTAAATTATAAAATCCTTAAGTTTAGCTAGTCACTAGTGTTCTATGGTGGTGGTATTCTTTTCGTCTTCAGAATATACTTCTTCACATAAAACAGTGTGATCTGGACACCAAACACTACACTGATGATGTAAAAAGCGTTTCCTCCCAGTGTAGGAACGAGATCTAGTTTTGGATACGTCTGTATAGTATAGTGAAGGGCAGTACCAAGACCCAGTCTAAAGCAGAGATAAGTGACAAAAAACAAAGTATCAATGATAAATGCCGTTCGACCCTTGTATAATTGCATCTCTTTCAGGAACCATCGGGTCTGTAGGAATGGATTTGTGACTTCGCTCCCTCCCAGAACTGCAGTCAGCTCGGAGCCATAAGACCCGGTATAAAGACTATAAGTGAAACCAACGAGCGATACGACATGATGCGCCAGCATCACAATACCTTCAGTCTGATACCAGAGACACCAAATAAAATCAAATATAAAATATCCAATGCTAATCGTTATGATGGCTGTGTGGAGTTGAGTGTTTGGTTGAGCAATGTAAGTAAATGGCCACGGGCCAAATACGAAACAGCTCCCAAAGCTAAGAATCGATGCCACAGTCCCGTGGAGTGCAGTGACGATTCTGCAGTTCCACTCTGGAGAGCAGGTCCTATTGAACACACACACATAGAAGTACAGGTTGGCCCAGAAGAAGAAGCTAGTGAATATAGCAGTGAGTGGTAGCTGACCCATTAAAGATGAGTCTTTCATTACCAAATCATCACTGGTGGGTATGTTCTAAAAAGAAACAAAAAATAGTTTCAGTAACATTTAACAAAAGAAGTGTTTGCTATTCATCTCAACTGATGTGGTCATTAGTATTATGCCAATACACGATGCTAATGAGTTAATTCACTGCAATCATTAATTAGCAGTGAGTGCTGGGAAAGTTTACGACAATAATACAACAAACAACAAGATTTCTAGTACAACAGGACGGGCAGACACTTACAATCCCTTCCTGTGGGACGTTCAAATCAACAGTCATGACTCCAAGGACTCCTGTGTCTACTAGTACAAGGTATCGCACACTCACAGGGAGAAGTAGTCTCACGGAACCACGCCAGCTGAAGTGTGACTGTGACAGTGACAAGGAAGTGAAGGAAGGAAGGAGATGGTGTGATGATCGCACCCCTTGTTGCAGCAAAATTAAAGGGTGGGGCTAGTGTGGCTACGCCCAAAAAAAGATGGCGACAGGTGGTAGAGTGCTGGGTGATTTCAAGTTCAAATTTTTTAGCTCTCTCAATCAGGGACGCGGCCTCAGAACTGGTATATAAACAAAGAGATATTTAATATTTAACTTGCAGTATTTGTAGGTGATGTTTTTGAGTTATCTGGCGATCATGGAACTGGGAAATCCGAAATATTTCTTAACATGGTGGCTGAGGCTCTAATCCCAAAATACTATCAAGACTACATATTGGGTGGTAAGGAAATAGGAGTCGTATTTATCAGTACTAACTACAAGTTTGATTTATTACGGTTGGTGGAAATACTCGAACACAAACTTTTTGTAAGACTCTCCAGCGAAGGAGAGGAACTCAAAGTGAACGATGATGAGAGTATCATCACTTTAAGAGACGCCGAAGTACCCATCACTTCAAAGTCTCCGCCCATATCATTCAAAGAACCTTCCATCAACAGGGAACTCATCAAAAACTGTCTTAAGAAACTTTATGTGCTCAACTGTGACTCCATTCACAGTCTGACTCTGACTGTCATTTTCTTGAAACAATTCCTGCTAGGTTCGCCTCACATTGAGCTGATACTGATCGACCATGCTCTAACAACTGAACATGTTAGAGATGAAGTCTCACCCATTGACCCGATGAAGTGGTTGGAGCTACTTGTAGACTATAGCAGACAGTATGCTATAGGTATTATCACTGAGCCAGAGACTCCAATTAGTAATAGTGAAATAAATAAATATACTTATCATATTCGTAAGACAAGGTCTGCTCCCAATGGTTCCGTGTTTACTCTAAGCAGTGTTAACTTTAATCAGTCATGGGACTTTACTGTTAATAATGATGGGATAGCCTTTGGATCCAATTGAAAGACACGTCACTCAAGAGCCACATGTATGTGTTAATGTGTACAGTGTAGTACTAACAATAATTATCACAAATTTAAAGATTATTATTTTATCATTATTTAATCATTATCTATTGATCATGGAATAAAATTGAATCACACAAACAAAACTAATGCCAAATCTCTCTCATCATTCGTGTCCGTACAAAATATGTTTGAGTTCCTCAACGAGCGTCTCGTGGCGATAGGCGACACGAATGTTGGGTACGTTGGTACGTGTGATGTCATTACCTCCAGGCCCCTCCTCTTGATATCGGAGACCCAACCAATACTGCTTGACCTGGAAAGAAAAGAAAAAAATAACAAAATACTGCAGGATAAAATAACGAGTAGATACTCACGTTATGTTCAAAGCCGCTCATTAGGACAGAGTTCCTTGCCAGCTCACACATGTCGCAAGGGCTGAGTTTCCACACTTGTGCTGCGATGCTGTACTCCTCCATTAAAGGCTCCTGTAGAAGAAGAAAGGGAATTGAATCTGTTTTGGTCAATTTGTTTTCCATCAAAAATTGGGTATTTCTGGAGCCAATTTTTGGGGAAAAAAAGCATAGATTATTGTTAACATTGTACAGTGATTTTCCTTAAACTTGCATAATAGACAAGCAGAAATGTGTCGTGCACACGCTCTGTTGTGGTCAGGAATAAAATGGATGCACCTACTTAATACTGACCACAACAAAACATGTGCATAACACATTTCTGCTTGTCTATCATGCAAGTTTAAGGAAAATCACTGTACAATCAAAACACTTCATTAATCTTTACTCTCTTTCTCCCTTCCCTGATGCATATACCTTAGTAAAATGAAACTGAAGTGGATCATCAGTAGAAAGAGACACTAGGAGACCACGTTGAAAGTACTGATGCAACGGATTGCGATGATAATCCAAAAACAGGGAATTGTTACTCAGTGGTGACATGGCAATGCCAATCTGAGCCAAATAGTATAAATACTGTAGAGTTGGTACCTATAGGTGACAAAATATAAGAAGTTTTTTTAAGAACATGTACATGTATATTAATCAGAAAAAAATATAAATTGAGAATTTTTTCCAAGCCATTTTTTGACAAAATATCCTTTCCCATGGTCATTGACTCAACTCCAATTCTGATAAATAGTATGTTATAGGGCAAAAAATTATTACATTTTTAATGTACATGTACGTACGATTGACATCTATAATAATTATATGTACGCTAAATACCTTTCTCAACATCAAACCATGTGAAATGTTCTCAGCCAACATGAATGCAGTTATCAGGTGATGAGCAGGACCTGCTTCACCACAATGGGGCCGCAACTGAAAAGTGTGCAATCCTCTTATCCTAATAATAATAATATTACATTATGACAAGTACGTTATTATTGGGAAATTATGTCTTATTTGAACAAACAACAAAGATGGATACTATATCAACTTGGACTCACTTTCTGAGTTTGTTGAGGAGACAAATGTTAGCATACATATAGAACACGTAGTAGACATAAGGAGGATTATCAGTGTGGGTCCAATGGGTAGGATCGGGTGAGGTTTGGTGAAAGAAATGACTCTCCGGCTTACTCTCATCATCAACACTATCAAACCCTGTTACCTAAGGGAGGAGAGAGAGAGGGGGAGAGAAAAAAGAGAGGGTAAGAGAAGGGAGAAAGGGTAAGAGAAGGGAGGGAGGGTAAGAGAGAAGGTACATGTAAAGAAGCAAACACATCTCTTTGGATGTGTTGTTGCCCAAGAGTTTGGCACACGTCTTGATGTTTACTTTAAATTGTAAGACCAACTAGTGTCCTACTCTTATGGCTTTTAGAAATTTGCTAACATATTACTTATTCATTATAATATACTAATATAGGCCAAATACATTGCAAAATGAGATAAAATAGGAGAAAAATACATTGTACATCATCACATGCACACACGCACTATTTTTTGTACATTACTCCTTCAAAGTACCTGATTAAGAAATCTTGAAAGGAACGGGTGTGAGGACGGATCCAGAGTTGCCTCAAAGACAGGCACAAACAAATTCTCCAATATCTGATTGAAATTCTCAACCATGTTCCTATCCTTGTAAATATCACTGATAGCAGAAAAGGAAAGAAGTAACATCATTATTATTACTAGCAAATTGATCTTATAAATCTCACTATATCCTTGGTACTTGTATGAGCCAGCGAACGTTATCACAGAACAGGTTGTGGGTCACCGCCCACTTGGCAAGTTTGTCCCACTCGTCAGGCGAGCGTCCATATATGGAAATACGAAGTTCAGCCATTTGATACTTGCTCTCAGTAAGGTCGTCCATCACTTCCTGTGGGTGTGGCTAGTTATTAATAGTTATAAAGGGGGAATACCTTGATTATATGAGCGAAATAGCTCCCTCCAATGTCATTGTCAGTTTTTATGAATATTTCTCTCAATTTGCTCTTTCCAATCGGATTATACTTGGCATTGAACTTGTCAAAACGATGAAACGTATTTCGATCCTACAATAACAAGGAGATATTATTATTATCATTATTATTAGTATTATTATAATAACAATATTTTTTATTCTTTCCCCCTCTCCCTATCTCTCCCTTACTGCATGCACATCAAGGTTATCAACGTTAAGGTCATAGGCTCTGAGATTCATATCCTCAAACACTTGAGAGAGAGTCTTCTTCTCTTTTCTGTTATTAATGACAACCTCGCCGGGACACTCCTTGATCTTCTTCTTCATGAAGCGTAAAAGGTGCTTCTGGTTCATGCAGGAAGAAGCATGAATATGAGTATCAACCTATAAGGAGTACATTATTATGTCAGAGAAAGAAAAAATATATGCACATCACTACAGTGCACAATGTATGCACAAAATTCCCATCAAATTTAGATTTTTACAAATTTTTTAAATTGCTCCAAAATTAAGTAAAAGTCCCTGTACTATAGTGCACGGTCTCGGGCCAAATTTTGCCAAAAATGAAAAGGTGAGAATTTTCCATTTTAATAATTTTCCCCAGTACATATACATGTACTTATGTTGCGTAGAAAGTTTGAGCTGGTTCCGATGAAATTTGGATTTTTTATGAATTTTTAAAGTTACTCCAAAATCAGGTAAAAGTCCCTGTACTATAGTACACAGTCTCGGACCAAATTTTGCCAAAAATGACTAGGAAAGAATTCTCCATTTTTATAATTTTTCCTAGTACATATACATGTACTTATGCTGTGTAGAAAGTTTGAGCTGGTTCCGATCAAATTTGGATTTTTTACAAATTTTTAAAGTTTCTCAAAAATCAGGTAAAAGTCCCTGTACTATAGTACACGGTCTTGGGCCAAATTTTGCCAAAAATGACTAAGAGAGAATTCTCCATTTTTATAAATTTTCCTGATACATATACATGTACTTATGCTGCATAGAAAGTTTGAGCTGATTCTGATCAAATTTGGATTTTTAGAGAATTTTTAAAGTTGCTCCTTGAAGCTTGCTTTGTAGCTCACTTAACATGCTTTGTGGGAAACCCAGCATTGTACATGTACATTATATATATACAATCAAGAATAAATAATACCTAAAGTAAATAAATAAATAATAACTAATACCTTTAGGTATTATTTACTCTTGGTACAATGTATATGTACATGTGCATTGTATATGTACTGTATTGTATACGTATATGGTGTGTGTAGATTATATGGTAAATAGTTTCCCAGCCCCAGTGCTAATAAGGGCAATACGACATGTAGTAAACATCACATTATTTACCTTTCTGACATTATAAAAGTCACGATGGGGAACAGACTTCTGTGCTTTGAGCTCTCTCAGTTCGTTAAGCATCACATGCAGGTGAAACCGTGAATCGAGATACCCTAACCTCCTGTAGCTGAAAGACTTGCTAATATTAGGAAAAAAAAGAAGTTAAACCTTGAGGCCATTGAGTAAATACATGAAATAAAATATGCAAAGCAGTCATGTACATGTACATACATAACATAATAACGAAATAATCATGTACAACTCACATAGGCCCATGGATAGAAAGAGCCAGCAGTATATTATAATCTTTAATAAAGTCCTCTCTCACTGCCTCCATTGTCCTTGGATCATTCAGAAAGTTATCATTTGCAATTTCTTTCTCTTCTATATTCTCCTGGTCTCCCGTAGCCCTTAGCTGAATGAACCCTCTAACCATCTTTACCTAGAGACGCACCACACGATCACATGACTCTCACGTGACATACCCTCGTACCTCAAAGTTAAGCTTCGACTTGAAAGGGACGTCATGTGGCAGAAAATTAGGCACAGGGCTACACCCCGTGGGTACTATGAAATAAAGATGAAAGTGAAAATAAAAAACAGAAGCTGCTGTTGCGTGCATACTGTGAATAACATCGCCACCAGCTGTAACTGCCTGATCAGTATCTGTACAGAATGCACTGCTGGGGATAATGTCACTGTCAAGCATCTTAGCAGTTGTTTCACAAAAACCCTATGAAGAGAGTACAATGTATGAGAGTGAATGTAAGAAACTGTTTCTATAGGAGGAGCTCACTTGATGGCTCATGCTCATGTATTTACGTCTTATCTTCAAAGCACTGATGAGGTACTGCTGCGCCTCCTTGAAATCTGATTCTGTTACCTAAAAGAGAGAGAGAGAGAGAAGGTGAGAGAGACTTTAAACAGAATAAATGGCTTACTCCTGCTAGATTAGAGGGAATGGCATCACCATCAGTTGATTCACTGGCTGGGATGTCAGCAGCTGGAGTGATGGTGACTCGGTTGAATGGAACTTTGAGACATACACCAGACTCAACAAACTTCATGCTCATCTGAGTAGCACTATTTAATAATAATAATAATTTAATAATAAACATAATAATACTCTATCAATAATGTGTACAGACTCACTCTATCATTATCAGTATTTATACACATCACTACTCACTCTCAGATTGTTTATGGGTGCAATTAATCAAATACCTTTTAAGATCAGTAGCAAAAGACTGTATGTCAGCCAAGCTCTCGTTCCTGTCTCCAAAGTATTCGTAAGGAGCATTCAATGCATTGGGCTCTGTAGTAGAAACAAGAGGTGCCATTATATCACCCTCAACAAACTAAAGTCTATAGTATTGTCTTATTGTTAATTAACTTAGTCAGTCGATCACATACCAGTCTTGATAATAGTCTCCCTACTCTCAGGTCTCTACTGCCTCATACCAGGTGACCCTTTACTTCTTACCAGGTTACCCTTTACCTCTTACTAGGCTACCCTTTACCTCTTACCAGGTTACCCTTTAGCTCTTACCAGGTTACCCTCTTCCTCCCCTTACCTGGTGTGTAGTGTTCAGTTGAGACAAATGTTGCCATCTCTAATTCATCATCAGTGCTCTCTTTGTCACTTTCAACAGACACTTCAGGCTGCTTGTGAAAAGTTGGCTTTTTGCTATTACCATCAGACGAGACTGAAAGAGATCTAATGGCAGCTAAAAAAGAAGTAAAGAGGAGGCATGAATAATAGCGTATCAGTTGTACAGTTGTGTACTGGCACGTACCTCCAACATCATTAACAAAAACTGATTTTGATTCTTTCTTGTGTAACTTCTTAGCTAACTTGTGAAACACCTGGTAAAGAGAGAGAGAGACACACACACACACACACCATGATCATAAAATGAACCATGCGAGGATTTTCATTATACGCACGATAATTATTTTAATTAATTCCAAAGTGTAAATTATCAACATGTAAAATAATTGGCACTTTCATGACTATACACAAGACTCATGTCCATGATATTGCCCATACTATTACTATGCACTAGTATATACAATATTAAACCTGAGGCCCTTATCTTACAGCTGTTTCTTCCTCGGAATAAGATCCCAAGGGACTGGATCCAGATAGTCTCGATGCCCGGCTGTGTTCCATCATTCTCTGGGCCTCTCTCTCTCCTCCTATCTCCATGGCGCTGGGAGATACGGAGTAAGCCTTCCCGGAACTGCTCGTCTTCCTCAAGACAAGAGGAGACGTAGGCACAGAATTAGAGCTAACTTTAGGTTCATTCATCCTTTTAAAGCAGCACAAATTAGAATGATGGCGTTGTTTGGGGAAGTAGTAGTAGCCTAGGGTGGAGCTAATTAGTATAGTACAAATTAATTTTCTTCATGTAGGATGGAGGTAAAAAAAATAATGTGGGCACACATAGATCTAGTGTTGAAAAATTTATTCTATGTTCACTAAATTAAGCCATAGTGGCTGTATAGATATGGTGGTTCCGTACAGCAGTCATAGCACCAGTTTTTGACTGGCATTCACTTTCTATGCTTGCTTTTACGGTTAGTTATTTGAGCAGTTTAGCCACGTGTAATCACGTGGGGAGCTAAAGAATGGTGGGCGGAGCATGTTATTAATAAAGATTATAAACACTCACATAGGAATGGAGGGATTGGTATCTGCTGATTCTTTACCCTCCGCTGATTTCAGTATAGCAGATTTAGACAGCGAAGAAGAACAAGAAGAGGTGAGAGGCAAAGGAATGAGACTCGTGCTTGAGAGAAGTGCCTCACAGATGCATTGCAACACCTAACAACCTCGCACCTTGTTATTAATTACTATCACTAATACCAGCGTTTATATAACTACATTACTCCTTACAGGAGGGACCTGTTACTATATTCACTAGAACTGGGAGCAAGCCAGTGACAGGAGGGGATACTGAGACAAGGAATCATATCAACGAACAAGGTGTGAAAATATGATGCAATATAAATTAGGAGATAAATTATTTTTATGAATTTACAATTGTAATAATAATAATGATAATAATAATAATAATATATTATTATTATTATTATTATTATTATTATTAGACATAGTTGTGCACGATATTGAAACTGATGACAAAAAAGACGAAGACCAGTTTGCCAAGAATGGGAATGAAATCCCCAAGTCTAGGGATGAGGATCAGGACAAGGAATGGAACGAGTTTCAGTCTCAGTTCTACAGTGTTCTTGAGTCCTCAGAGACCATGGTACAAGAGGCAACACTCACTGGACAGTTACAAAGACTAAAAGATGACCTCCTTTCCAGTGGTCTACTTAATACCAGCAGTGCTAATGTGAGGCTCACTGTGTCGCCCGATCATAAAGCAACAAGGTTAATAGGAACAGGAACTGATGAAAGACATGACAAAACGTTAGTAAATTTTTAATTTTTAATAATAATAATAATAATAGTTAATTTTTATCCTAAATTTACTTAATTTCAGGTCTGAAACTGGCTCTGGCAGTTCTCATTTACTCCAGAGCAGTTGTTTTGATCAGATCAACGAGGATGATCTCGACATGATGCTGGAGGTAATCAAGGAGGAGGCGGAGTCTAGAGAGGCCACACCCACAAAAGAGGAGGGGTCTTCCTCGTTTGAGTGGCAGCCGTTGGTCTCTACGAACCAGGAGCTAATGTCTCAATTGGAGTCTGCTAGTGTCCTGAATGAGGCCCAGGTTGAGGAGTATCGCTCAATTTTAAGGAGCAGCTCTTCTTTCAAAGAAGATAAGAAATCAAAATATTGTGAGGAACACATCCACACACACACACACACACACACAATACTACAGCACAGCTTTCATTTGTAGTATTTGTTTATTGAGAAACCTAATTTTACAATATCAATGTCTTATTTTTCTCTTGCCATTTTTATAGCTGAACCTGATAACCAGAATGTTATACATTTGGATCTTCGTCCAACAAACACGATGCATGTTAGTAGTATTATTATGAATTATTATTATCATTATTAATTATTATGATCTATATTATTCTTCATCAGTTTGATACTGAATCACACGATGAGATGAGTTCATCTGCCAAGAGGCTAATGGCCCTTAGGCTCTCAGGGAATAAGTGAGTGGGCGAGGGTCACTCTCAGTTTATGTGTCACGTGAGTAGGTCCAGTGTGGGGGAGGAGGAGGAGGAGAGCTATGACGCTCATTCGTGGAAAATTGAGAGACGAAAGTTTAAAAACACCTCCAGCTCCAGTGGAGGAGAGAGTAAGTTTACATGTGTACTTATTTATTACTTGTAGCCTGTATTTTTTATTTTAATTTATTTAATTTTTATTACTTCACAGGTGACACTAAAGCTTCTCAGCCAGTACCTGTGTTAGAAAAAACTCTACCTGTTCCAAATGAGACTTCTATCTTACCTCCTCCTTCCTCCTCGAAGAAGACCCCTCCCTCTTCTTCCCTCGTTCCTAGTCCCAGGACTCGCTTGACGTCATCAGAGAGTGTCTCTGAAGATGACGTTTTCTCTAGCCCGTCACAGGAAGGACTTGCTGGCCCTGAAAACTCTTCTCAAGGAGGAGGAGGAGGAGGAGCAAAGTCAAAACAAGATGGGAAATCCAAGAGGAGGAAACACAAAGGATGTGGTCGAAATGATAGTGGGAGTGGCAGCGAGAACGAGAATAAGAGGCGGCAAAAGGGGCGTGGTCGGAAGGACAGCGGGAGCAGCAGCGATGGAGAAGGTAAAGGAAAGAAAAAGAAATCTCAAGACTCCAAAAAAGTAATTTTATTGGTACTATACAGAATAAGTTTACAATTATTTCCATACGTGAATGTACATTATAGATTTAGATTATTTTGTGTTACATGTGTATCGCATTTGAATATTTGCTATTATGCATGTAGGATGCTAATAAGCAACAGAAGTCTAGAAAGTCTTTATCTCACAGAGACAGAAAGGATAGTCTGACTCAAAGCAGTGATGATGATTCAAGTTTGTTGCATGCACTCTCTCTATATACAGATACACGTATATTACACTTATTTATTTACTTAGACTATGGTATATCTTTGTTAACAAGAATTGTTTTTATAAGTGCCAAAATAAATTCTGTTCCATTATTTTAACCAACCCACTTATCACATCATTTCTTCTTTAGTCCTTTCTTTCAAAGGCTCTCCCCCTACCCTCCCTCCTCCTGGTCGGTCCCTCAGTGAAGGTGATGCTGAGAGTGTTGTCAAGAGTCTTGAGAGAGTCAAGTCGTTCCTTCAGCAGAAGATAGAGCTACGCAAACCTCCTTCACTCTTTAATGTACCAAACACCTCACCACTCTTCCATCAGGTTAGCCTATAGTGTGTATCATTATTATAATAATATTATTATTATTATTATTATTATTATCATTATTATTATTATCATTATTATTATTATCATTATTATTATTTTGATTTGTAAAACACTGACTCCACTAATAATAATTCATTGTTTCTCATCAGTTTTTTCAAGCTGGTCACTGGCCATTCCTCCTTGTAATAATTCCTTACCGGCTCTCATTGTCTCAACACAATGCTGGACTCATTCCACGCAATAGCTCTCTAGCACATGTTCCATATATTACTCACACACACATACATACACTGTCTAGTCTAAGAGATAGTCTTTTTAAAATGCTCTCGTTGTTTCTGGTGTTAGCTCTGACTGTGGCTCTGTCCACTAGTCAGGAGTTTTCCTTCACTGCATCCTGTGGAGGAGGTACAGGACTAGAGTCTAGTGCTAATAACAGCAACTGTAAAGCTCTTGGGTATAAGATTGACCAACTGGTCAGTGCCATGCCTGCTGCCTATAAAGAACTTGCTAGTAGAAAAAAGAATGGTTCTAGTATTGATGCTTTCTCATGGCCTCCTCCATCTTACATTCCCTCTTCTTGTCAGGACATTAAAGACAATTGGCCCAATAGTGGCTCGGGTTATTATAACATTGCTACCATGAATGGGAAGACACAACCAGTGTACTGTCAGATGGAAGGGCTGTGCAATATCACTGGAGCATGGACCAGGATTGCTTATCTTGACATGTCTGATCCTACTCAGACCTGCCCCAGTGCTTTCTCTTATAGTACAAGTGAAAACTATAGAACCTGTGGCCGAGGGTTTTCATCAGGTTGCAGTCCTTTGTATTTTTCACCACCTCAGAGTGGATATCAGCAAATTTGTGGTAGAATTGTTGGCTACCAATACGGTGCTGCCAATAGCTTCTCTCATTCAACTTCTATTGATAGCAACTATGTTCATGGTATCAGTCTTACTCATGGATCAACACCACGTAAGCACATTTGGACATTTGGGGTAGGAAATTTCGATAATGTTGCCCATTATTTAAATTGTCCATGCTCAAGTGGAAGTCCATCGTCAGTTCCTTCATTTGTGGGTAAGGACTATTTTTGTGAGTCAGGAATTTCCGGTTCTTTGGTATCGCGGAAATTATACTCTAGTGATCCATTGTGGGACGGAACTGGATGTGGCTCTCTTGAAGGTGACTGTTGTGCTGCTCCAGGTCTTCCATGGTTTCATAAGGACCTTGGCTCAAGGGTAACCAAGCCGCTTGAGATGAGGATATGCTCAAAGAATTCATCTGGCGACATTAAAGTGTCTCTCTATGAGCTTTATGTGAAATGATTGAACTGATTAATAGGATTTTTGGAGCTATTTTCGTAATAGTTTTTTTGTAATAATTTTTTTGCATAAAAAATTTTTGTAGAATGTATCACCTCTGAATCAAACATCAATGATAGTGATGTAGTTTGTATTGCTTACACATGTGTAGTTTTACTGACCTTGCCTCTTTATTATAATACAAAATGTGCTCAAGTTATGCTGAACCTTTTCTATAGGATGTATCATTCTCTGATCCTCTCCTCTCATTCCATCCATCTCTTACTGATACCCAGTCTCTCCTCCTACTACCACTGACTGAGAATGGACTGATAGATATGGACACTGTTGATCTACCCAGTCACACACTCAGTATCAGTGTCACTCATCTTCTACACACAATACTCATCACGTGGCTCATCTCTTTAATGCATACTACTAGCCCTGAAGGAAAGGAAGAGGAGACTGATGGTTCTGCTGTGTTGTGGAGGCCATTTATAGTGAATGGGTTACAGCAGACAGTTGTGGATGGTCTTCCTTGTATTTTAGTGACCATCACAAGTGAGTTTTATAACGTGTCAGCTACAAATGTATTATGTGTTGTCAATAAGTGTTGTCATTGATTGCTGTATTTGAAGAAAACTGCTCGAAAATTTGGCCAGTGATCATAGGCTGTAGTACAGAATGGGACTGCCAAATTTTGTCAAAAATGGTTAGGAGAGAATTTTTCATTTTTATAATTTTTTTCTGATGGATATACATGTTCTTATGTTGTGTAGAAAGTTTGAGTTGATTCCGATCAAAATTAGATTTATTATGAATTTTTAAAGTTACTCAAAAATCGGACCAAAGACCCTGTACTATAATAGTACAGGGACTTTAGCCAAATTTCGTCAAAAATGGGTAAGAGAGAATTTTCCATTTTTATAATTTTTTCTGATGCATATGCATGTTATTATTTTGTGTAGAAAGTTTGAGCAGATTCAGATCAAAATTGGATTTTTAATGATTTTTTAGAAGTTGCTCTAAAGTTGGCTTAATCAGCAAAAGAAGATTTACTATAAAAAACCAAAGGCAATGCAAAGGCTGTAAATGACCACTTAAAGATGTGATTTTTTAATCTTTAGGTACAGGATCTTGTGAAATCACTCAATTATTATCAAGCTCTAGTCTCGCTCAGATCATCAATCCATTGATGACTATCTTAAACCTGACATCATTCAATGAGAACACACTCTCTCAGCTCCACTCTTTATCAACTACTCCTCTCTCATGCCTCCTCTCCCTCCAGACTGACTCTTCTCTTATTTCTACTCCCCTCAGCTTCTACTCTCACACTTTCTATTCTCTTCGTTGCCTGCCCTCAGCTGATTCCATCCACTCTACTGCTCCATTGCAAAGAACAGTGTGTACTATCAGTCATACTAACTTGAGTAACACTCGCGTTGTTTTCAATCTTCTTTATGAAGCAACTACGCAAGGCCTTGATATTGTTGGACTCAGACTAGTCTATGATACTACTACTAATAAGCACTTTCCTTTAGCTCCATTGAAAGAGAGAGAGATAGCAAATGAGAAAACAGAAGAGACCCCAGGGCAAGGCTCACCTGTAGTAATACACAAGTCTCATACGATAAAGCAGGAACTGTGTGACGATAGCTCATCTCAGTTAGTCCTGGCTGTGTCTTTCAGAGGCCCCAATGCCATTTCACGTATCATTGACATCATAGGACCTGATGATCATTCCCTTGCTCTCATTACAGATCCAGCCTCATTATCAGCTCAATATGGAGGAGGAAACTCTTCTCCCAATTCAACTAGCAGCAAAGGTGTTCCGCTAGTGTCTTGTGTCCGTAACTCTTACTGGGGAGGCCTTGAGCTAGCTAAGTGGTTTGGCGGTCGTGCTTGCCTCAAGAGTGGGAGCATAATTGGAGTAAGTGATGCCATTACTAAGTCGGAGAGACGTAAGAGGCAGAGGGTGAGGTTCTCCGAGAGTGAATCAGAAGATGTAGTTATTCCTCTCCCTGAGGATATTGATTATCCTCCATTAATATCAAATAGGCCAGCATTGCTAGTCTATCCTTATTCAAGAGTCATCCTGGTAGCGTCTCCATTGGTTGGTCCATCTTGTTACAGCACCCTCCTCAGTTCTGTGAGTGAGGCTGGTTTTGATCTTCTAGGCATCAAGAGGATTAGGTTAAATCCTAAACGTGCTCTCTCCCTCAATATCCCAATGCCTTCCATTAGTCATTTCACTCCTTCTTCTTCTTCATCTTCTCCAATGTCTCCTAGCCTCAATGATAATGCTCTCTCATTCTCTTCCTCCCAGTCTGAGTCTGGTTTCCCTCCTCTCCCATCTCTCCTCCTTATTCTTGCAAGAGAGAATGCCAGCTCTCACATTCAGTTCCTACTCAATACAGTCACTTCATCCTTGAGGAACCTTTCAGCTAGTAATCCTAATATTCTAGATCCTTCTCTGCCATCTAGTGGCTTGCTCCATGTGACAGACTTTTCAGAGGATGCACTGAAAGTGATTGGTAGCTACACCTTCACTCCAAGCAGTAGCAGTGGAGCCAAACCTTCTCCTCTTCTATTGGAGGATAAGAGCTATAAAGAAGAGATATCATTAATAGCAGTGTCAGGGACCCACTCACTCACTGATGCACTAGATACACTTGATTCTCTCACAGCTATCAGTAGACCTAATAAAGCCAGTACACATTCCACCAACAACTCTCTTGTTAGTAGCAGTAAGCCTGTAGTATCAAGGGACGAAGAAGGCTTGGGTGGGTTTGAGCTACTGGGTATTAAAATTGTTCCTTCTCTCTCTCGTTTTCAAGCCAAGCAGCTCTGCCCCTATCCCCAGTCCTCTGCTGGGTTCTCTGAAATGGTTGATAGCCTGTTTGCTAAACCGGTTTTGCTGTTGCTTGTGAGAGGGATCAGCTGTAACGAGAGGGTCTGGAAACTGCTCAAGGGTTCCGATAACTATGATATTTTATTGGGAAGCAGGAAGTCAACCAGGATAATTTGTTCTGACGATTTCAATAAAGCCTTCTATCTGAGTACACTCTTCTTTATCGATAAGGAACTCTTCAGTGATTCTGATGTCTGGCCGTGGGCACATCTTGTTCCTCCTGCTTGGATTAACGATTGTGCCATTCTCTCTAGCCTATCTGTTGATCCTGAACCACTTCTGTCTGTATTTACTGTAGCAATATCACACATGACGTAAGAGAGAGAGAAAAAGAGAATTTTAAATGGAGTACAATTCATTTTAAAAATAAGATTGCTTACAGCTGTTGTATGCTAATCTTTTTAGGTTGTTGGTTAAAGTATTGGAAAAGCTTTCTCGCTCAGGATTCCATTTTGTTGGAATGAAACTGACAGAAGGAGATCAATCTGATAAGGTTTAAAGAGTAGAATTATTATTATTGTATTTTATTTTATATGCTATTATTATTAATTTAGCTTGTAGTTGCTGTCTGTGTTGAGAGGTATAATGCTGTATGGTATTTAGCTCATCAGCTCCAGTTGTTCACTCATTCATCAAACTCTTACTCCAAAGCCATTTACTGTGAGTATTATACCAGCATTAATAGACCTATCATGTTATTATTATTCCTCATTTCCTCTCAGATTCTCCTACCTTCATGAGTGCTGTGGCTGACGTTCAGTTTTATTTCCCTTGTGGCAGTGTTCACACTTTATCATCAGCTCTTCTCAAATATTATCAAGTAAGACACGATTATCCTGTTTTTCATTTAATTCACGTTCATTTGTTAGGTATCATCAGATCCATCAGTCAGTACTGGTCCTTTCTCTCCAAGGTCAAAGGTCACATCGACTCCTTACGAGGGCCTGACTCCGCCCACTTCTCCGCTATCAGAAGATGCTTATCTGATCCTCCCTCCCTCCTATCTCTCCTCACCTTCAGCCTCTTCATCCTCCTCTTATGCTTGTCTGTCTTTCATCATTGTCCTTGATGTATTGACACGAGCTGGTTTCAGCTTGACTGATATCCTTATGACACAACTGAGTAGAAAGATGGCACAAGAGCTCCTCTTACTTGTCGATACTAAACTAAAAGTAATCTATAGCTACCATTCCTAACTATATCTTAATAATGAATCATTAGGAGGATGATCTATATAAAGATGGCCCTGATGTGAGACCGTGTATAGTCATTGGAGTAAGAAGGGACAATGCTGCCTCTTGCTTTCAGTCAATCATATCAAAGTTAGTCTTGAAATATGTCATTTTTTATAGTCATTTTTTAATGCTTACAATCAGGCAGTACAGTAACAGTATGTGTGTGTGTGTATATTGTCCTATGCCAATGGTCTTCTCTCTTCTTCTCTATAGCTTTCTCTTGCATTGCAGTGTAAGGGAGGACACAGTGTCCATTGCTAGGATATTTGATGGCTTGATAGTAACAGGGACAGCTCAACAGACTTCAGCTGTTCGAAGTGTATTTAAAAATACTCAAAGTCAACCTGAACAATAAGTACTTATAATATTAGAGGACTTCATGACGTCTTAAAGTGCATGAGGTCCTGTTACGTACTGTATCATAATACTAGCCTTTATGAGGTATATACTATACTATACTATACTATACTATACTGTATTGTAATATTATTATACTATTATAATGATAATAATAATAATACATGTACATTATCAATAAAAAAAAAGATACAATGCTTTACGAACAAAATAATGATTGACAGATAAACAAAAAAAATAATAATTAAATCTAATCTAAATGAAAGCAGACCCGTTTGCAGGAGTTAAATAACCAGTCGCTACCAGTATAACGTCTATAATTGACCACACCCCTAATCCACCAAATGACAGTAGTTTCCCAACAGCCGATCCGTACTGCTCCAGGTAAAACCTGTCGGCACCAAATCCACCGAGTGTGACACTAAAGAACATGTGAATGTCATGTGACATGTATTATACTCAACGATACATACCTTAATATGAAAGCCACTCCCCATTTCTTTCCTGTCGAATAATTGCATGGCAGTCTCTTTTGGAATGCTCTAGGAGCTAAAGAAGATTGATAATAATAATAATAATAATAATAATAATAATAATAATAATAATAATAATAATAATAACTCACGTATACAATATTCAGTATCTAATGCTGTGCAGTTTGAAATGTACATTGACTTGGGTGATGATTTCACCTATACATATATCAGAAGCATCAGAGTGTCATTCTAATCATAAAACATGTGCAGTCTCTTACGTTACATGTAGTGTTGGTAGAGCAGCAGGTCATTGGCTCCGGTAACTGGTAACAATATCGACATGTTGCTATTATATTGAAAGACGTGGGACCCTGCAATGAGAATAAAAATCCATTTATTTTATTCACACTAGAGGTCCTATCAAGCTTTATTTATCTTGTTTTAACAAATAGCCCCATTCCCTATCCATCTATATCTTACTTCACAGTCAACTCCTTCGATCGGGGAGCAAGTGAAATTGGTTTCTTGGCCATAGAGACAGGACCCGTTATCATGATTACAGGATATGCAGCGGTATGGGAGGTCAGAGCAGGGAGTATCAGTCGGACAGGACACGTTCATATCACCAGAGCCACTTTCTTCTATCAGGTCCTGTCCAGCAGACCCACTGGTGAGAAGGGAGAGGAGGAAAAAGACAAGAAAAGCGAGAAGAAGTCTATCTGCTGCTGCCATTGTAGAGTGGGAGGAGCTGCTATTAAATATTGGGAGGGGCATTGGGCGTGGTTACCCAGCTGGAGAGTTCAATTTTTACAAAGAAAAGTCTGAAAAAAGATTGATATTTTCTTTTCTTAATAGAACTAATGGCTGAGAAACCGACAGATTTCTCTAATAGGTCCCCTACCCGGTCCTCCAGTAACAGTAGCTCCGTTGGCGGGGGCGGAGGGAGGGACTCGCTAGAAGTCAATAATCCTGTAACGACTGCTGCTGCCACTGGAGCCAGCCCCAAGCCCAACTCTGGCAAAAGATCAATATTTGGGTATGTAATCAATCCATCGTCACCTTTTGGAGATATAATACTGACCACACCCTACCTTGTATTGTGTATACATGTACATGTATGTACATGTGCATGTGCATGTAAAGGCTGGTTTAGATTGCAACCTGTTACAACCTGAAACATAAGGCCTCGCATAAGGCATAATACAAGAGTTGAAATTATGTTAGGCATTAGTGTTCTGCATCCTTTTATGTATAATTTGTGTTAGTACATGTACTTAACATGTAATTACAGGCGGAGTCGCTCCACATCAATGAAGGAAGATTCTGATGACGCAGGAGTCAAGTAAGCCTATCTTCCCCCAAGAGATGTCATTATGGCTAATCCCTCTCTTCCTTTTATGGACAGTCAATCAGGCTCAGACAAAGAGAAAGAAAAGTCAAAGAAGGATAAAGGCTCATGGGTATGTACAGTTACATTCTCTTCAGTTAGACCATACATGTACATGTATATGTACATGTACATATACACTACCATATTTGTCATCTCACCAGAGTATTGGATTTGATGTATGCTAGCATTTACTAAAGAAAGGTTGAGAGCATCTTTTTTAAAAATATAAAATCATTTTAGAAAACATACACTCAAATCGCGTAAGCGTAATTTTGAAAATTGCGCCTCTCTTTAAAACATTTTCTGGTATGTGTAACTCCTCCTGTTTACATTCACATGGTAGTGATGTTACATAAATTGTCAGTTAGTACTGTGAATCTGTGATGTCCATATGTTCATTAATTTTTTCTCAGTTCTTATTTTAAAGTATACTATGATGCCGCCATTGATTATGATTCTGTTACTGTTATTCAAAACTTATCACTTGGTGTCTACACCTTGTTGCTATGTTTGCTTCTTAAACTGTCAGCGATTAGTAGTAGCCTGTCTGTGTGTAGTGTAGAGATCAGTACATGCTTAGCATGCTATTTTATTGATATTCATTGATATTACTATTATTGATATTGATTTTATAGTAGATTTTTTCTTCTCTTTCTTTCTCTCTTTTCTCTCTCTCTCTTGTTCTTTTAGCAATTCTTTGGTCCTCCTAAGCCCAAGAGTGGCACGGGTTGGCTTCCATTCAGTTTTGCTATGACTCACAGGGAGAAGAATAATGAGATACACAAGATATTCAAGCAGCTTCCTTCATCTGAGAAACTCATTGATGGTTAGAATACAAGCTAATAATACTTATCATTTATCACTTTGTTTCATTACTCCATTAATACATATATGGTTGCAATTGCTAACTGATTTGTTTGGACTGCATAACATTTGGTTGATAAGAGATGCAACAAAAGTGCTATGACTATAAAACTTAATTGTGGTGTCTCTTGTATAAATGAAGCATTTGAATTTTGAACTAAATAGCATATATATACATGTATACAGTTTAAAAGGATTTTTGTGATTATTACATGAATTTTGTAGATTATTCTTGTGCGCTACAGAGGGATATATTGATTCATGGCAGATTGTATGTGACACAGAACTGGATCTGTTTCTATGCTAACATATTCTCATGGGAGACACTAGTAAGTCAGTCAGTGTTAGCAAATTAGGTATTTTCTGGAGTAAAGCTTGATTGGAATCAGCTCAAATTTTAATGTAGCATAATGTCATTGATGATAATAATAATGATAATTTGGGAGTATTTTTAAAACCAATATTTTCAATACTGGATCATGAGCTATATGTGTATTTTTATACCTTATTTCGTTTTATAATAATAATTTTGTAACAATTGTTTCTTTTAGTTGACAATACCGCTGGTAACAGTTACTTCAATTACAAAAGAAAGGACAGCTCTAGTCATACCTAATGCCATCCTCATCACCACCACTGTAGAGAAAGTTAGTTTAAATTATAAAAATGAATACAATGCAAATAATAATGATGTTATAAAAAAATTTTTTTCTCTTTATAGTATGGATTCTCGTCTCTTATCCAAAGAGATTTAACGTATAATATTTTATTTAAAGTGTGGCAGAATAGTCTACTGGATCAGCCCATTGATCCATTGGAACTAGTGAAGGCAGCAAGGTATGTATGGGAGATGAGGAGGAGTGGTATTTGTCAAATTCTGAGCATCTTTAAAAATTCCTATAAATTTTAATTTTGATCGGAATCAGCTGAAACTTTCTATTCACAACATAAGAACATGTATATGTATCAGGAAAAATAATAAAAATGGAGAATTCTCTTCTTTTCATTTTTGGCGAAATTTGACCAAAGACCCTGTACTATAGTACAGGGACTTTGGTCCAATTTTGGAGCAACTTCAAAAATTTGTAAAAAATTCAATTTTGATTGGAATCAGCTGAAACTTTCTACACAACATAAGAACATGTATATGTATCGGGAAAAATTATAAAAATGGAGAATTCTTTTCTTTCCATTTTTGGCGAAATTTGACCGAAGGCCCTGTACTATAGTACAGGGACTTTGGTCTGATTTTAGAGCAACTTCAAAAATTTGTAAAAAAATTAATTTTGATTGGAATCAGCTGAAACTTTGAACACAACATAAGAACATGTATATGTATTAGGAAAAATGATAAAAATGGAGAATTCTCTTCTTTTCATTTTTGGCGAAATTTGACCAAAGACCCTGTACTATAGTACAGGGACTTTGGTCCGATTTTGGAGCAACTTCAAAAATTTGTAAAAAATTCAATTTTGATCAGAATTAGCTGAAACTTTCAACACAACATAAAAACATGTATATGTATCAGGACAAAATCATAAAAATAGAGAATTCTCTCCTAGCCATTTTTCATGAAATACCAATCTTCAAATTTTGATTGGAACCCTTATCCACATTAGGTACATTGTTCATGTATAGCATGAATGATTTTAAAAGATTACTCTTATGTATAATGGTTATTAATAGGAAGACGTGGGGCGATTCAACCGATGTTGGTACGTGTGAGGATTTATGGGGACCAAACGATGACTCACTGAGCAGTAGTTCCTCTGGAAGATTTGTGAGTGAAGATTATACTTTCTTTATCTAAACTGCTTCTTATCCTCCCTCTCTCCCTCCCTCCTCCTCTCTCTCTTTCTCTCTTTAGTCAAGACACAACTCCATGACAACCCATCTTGAAATCGGTCAAGTAACTTCAGCAATTCTAACGGAAGGGACACGCTCCCCACGTCCAATCACTAGACAAAGTCAGTGACAGCAACACAGCAACGCTTGGTCTAAGCGGGTGACATATCACCATATATGGTCATCATTTGTATGGACATGCATAGTCATTTCCCATCTAGTTGTTGCCATGACAGCTATAAATGTGTTTCTTTTGCCAGGAATAAGAGTGCGTGTGTGTAAAAGCGATTGTTTAGCACTACTATTAGTATGACCACATCTGTATGACCACTTCAAAGGATAAGCTGCTTATCAAAGCCAAACTAATTCAGTAGCATCACTTCCTATGGCCTTGTGACTCACTCCAGTGGGTGGGATTTGTAGTACAAACTGCAGTAGTAGCTTAGTTGCTGCAAGAAAAGAGAGAGAGAGTGTGTGTGGCTGTGTGTGTGTTTAATGGAGTTTGATTCCTCTCTCTCTGATGTATCCCCTTCTACTAAAGGTTCCTCTGATTCAGCAAGAATGAGGTCCTCCTCTGGAGGACAGACAGCTCTAGCTGAGACAATGGCTACCCCTACTGTCACTAAGCCAATAGCTACACCAATAGAAACTAGAGGAGGGGACCCTAAAGATGCCAGCACTCCAACTGCCCCTTCAATACCAGGCCCTGCAATGTCTGTCATCAGTGACAATACACAGACCAGTACTGAGACTGGCTCTACTGAAGTAGCTATGATACAGGTATTGTGTGTGGAGGAGGGGGCTATGGACATGAGTATTGTATTGCAGTTATAATGTAGGTATAATGGTTGAATGAATGATGCAGACTCATTGTTATTTTATTTATTTATTTATTTTATTGGAATATAACTGCTATAAAATTATTGCAATGTCATTTAAAATTAAATATAACAGCTGTTCATAATTTTATAATTGTGTTTAATATAATGCTGTAAATTTTGGCTAGCTTATAAGTATAGTAATATAAATTCATTGTGCTGTGTTTAATTACTATTTTATACTTTGCACCATTCACTAAAGACACATACTGTTATCTTTCTCTGTTTCATTTGGTTTACTTTACACTTTAAAATACATATTATATCACTTCCTCGGTCTCTTTTTACTGTTTAGAGCTCTCACAAAGACTCTGGGGTAAGAGGAGAGGATGACAGAGAAGGGAAAGGTGCTGCAAGTTCCGAAGAATACGAGCAATCAACTTTACCCGATGATCAAGGTTTGATAAAATACACAATAACTATTACAAACTTATTATAATATGGGAATCCTGTTTCTATTATGAATCAAAGATGTAGCATTTACTCTTGTTATGCATGTACGTGTATATATATATATGCCTAATTATTATTATTTTAAAAATGTATTTCACTCACAAACTGATTAGTTGTTTTCCCTCTGGACCCTCATTAACTGGATATTGGCGTAAATAGCTACATAATCAGTTGATAGATGACCAGACCGTCTGTCTATAGTATAGCACATACTCATGTCTACAACACAGTGAACACGCATACTTCTAATAATGTATTTAATCTGTTTCCTTTATACTGAGGGTCAATTACTCTCATTTGATGTCATACATGTACCTGACATTATGTGGTCTCTCTCTCTCCTTTACAGGTGAGGTCTCCTGTGGCTGTACAGAGCACAATGGTCGGACTATTCTCAATGAGATATACAACACTGACGTGGAGCATATCTTCCAGCTCCTGTTCACTGGGTCTGACTTCTTTAGAGATTTATTCAAAGCAAGGAAGACAACAAGTGAGACTGGGACAAACAAATGACACATTTAATTCATCTTAATTCTCTGACTTCCTCCCTCTCTCTCTCTCCCTCTCTCCCTCTCTCTCTCTGTCTCTCTCTCTCTTCTCAGATCTTGAAGTAGGTGAATGGACTACACAAGCTGACAATTCAAGGATTAGAGATATCACTTACACCCTCTCCCTCAACTACTCCTTTGGTCCCAAGTACTCGCCATGCGTTGAGCATCAGGTCTACTCTAAGATTGGTCAGCCTGGAGTAAGGCATGTTGTTAATACTGATGTAAGTGGAGTGGGAACAATAATATTGGTTGTAATATTTCATTTATTATTCATTTATTTATTATTTACTATATTGTTGGGTAATCTGATCCTGCTTCATGTATTAGTTTAATTATTATCACTATATACATGTACATGTAACTTTGATGGTCGCTTAAAAGACAGTGGCTTGTTTATTTGTTTCAGTTTATCTCCTTAAGTAGTTTCCTATTTGTCTTGGCTGCTGCTATATACATTGATCTCTTTGTGACATCAGTCACTTTATCTTTTAATCTCTCTCTCTCTCTCTCTCTCTCTCTCTCTCTCTCTCTCTCTCTCTCTCTCTCTCTCTCTCTCTCTCTCTCTCTCTCTCTCTCTCTCTCTCTCTTTATCTTTCTTTCTTTCTCTCTCTCTCTCTCCCTCTCCCTCCCCCCCCTCTCTCTCTGTAGGTAGTTAATAGTAATATTCCTTATGGAGACACTTTTTACGTTTCTTGTACATTTTGTATGACGCGTGTGGCGCACAACAAGACAAGACTAAGAGTCACTGGTAACATATGCTTCAAGAAGAACTGCTGGGGAGTAGTCAAAAGTAATGACAGAGAGAGAGAGAGTACTCAGAGCAGGGTCTCCCAAGGGATTTTGGCATAGTGCTCAGCTGATACATGTATGTACATGTACTTATGTTGTGTAAAAAGTTTAAACTGATCCCGATCGAACTTAAATTTTTTTACAAATTTTAAAAGTTACTAAAAAACCAGACCAAAGTCCCTGTACTATAGTACATGGTCTCCAGCCAAATTTTGCCAAAAATGAAAAGGTAAGAATTCTTCATTTTTATAATTTTTTCTGATACATATACATGTACTTATGTTGTGTAAAAAGTTTGAGCTGATTCCGATCAAATTTAATTTTTTTTTTTGCGAATTTTAAAAGTTACTAAAAAACCAGACCAAAGTCCCTGTACTATAGTACATGGTCTCGAGCCAAATTATGCCAAAAATGAAAAGGTAAGAATTCTTCATTTTTATAATTTTTCCTGATACATATACATGTACTTATGTTGTCTAAAAAGTTTGAACTGATTCCAATCAAATTTGAATTTTTTACGAATTTTTAAAGTTGCTCGATATTGAAGCGCTGTCACTTAGTATGCTTTCTGGGAGACCCTGAGAGAGAGAGAGTGGTAATAAAGTAGGAATTGAATTATGAGACATGTACAGTATATGCTATGGGTATATATATATATATATATATATGTTTATTATTTTTTATTTATTTTTTCAGATCTTATTGAGAGGAATGCTGGGGATGGTCTTAGATCATACTATAGCCATTTAGGTAGGCAAGTATTAATTTTAATAATTTTAGTAATAATTTATTTATTATTATTATTATTATTATTATGAAATACAGTGTTGTTATTATTATTATTATTATTATTATTATTAATAGACACAGCTTTGAAAGAGTACCTGGTTAATCTACCTGCTAAGAGACTCCAGAAGATGAGGAGAACTCCTCGTAGACGACACAAGAAATCAATATCCACCACTAGCAGTAATGTAACCGTCAAGGTACTACCTATTGTATTTGCATGTATGTATGTACATGTACATTTATATTATGGTACTTGTGCAGTGCACAGTATTGGTTTTTATCTTTTTAAAATGTATAATGTAATGATTGGTATTTCTAATAGGCTAATCAGCAGTTACCACTAGTGGCAGTCGATGAGGAAAGTGGGAGTGGTTTGAAAAAGAGGCGTGGCAGCATGTCCAGCCGTTTGAGCTTGAAGTCATTTGATAATAAAGTCTCCGAAGAAGGTAATGTATTTAATATAGTTTTAATACTTAATACTTATTTTTATTTTTTAAAAATATTCAGACACGGTATCTTCATTCAGTGGAGACAAAAGTAGTAATAAATTAAGGTATGGTTCTGCTGGCTAGTGAATTGGATTATAATTATAATTTTTGTATTTTATTTTTGTAGAGTTACCAGAACATGTTCTAGAACAATGCTTGGTCTTGCTATTCTGTAAGATTTTAGTGTTTGATTGACAGTTATAGTATATGGCTCTCATCCTTTCTTTCCTTCTCTCTCTTTTATAGATTATCATTGTTAATGCTATCAAACATTGCACTCTATCATCAGTTAATCACATATCAATCTTCTTCTACTCCTTCTTCTCCTTCCTCATCTTTTCCATCTTCTTCTTCTTCTTTATCCCAAGGACAACCTCAGCCAACCACCCTCTCCCCTTCCTCAATGTTAGTACTATATTGTCACAGTTGCTGTGGGAATTCATTGTTTTGTTGCATTTCTATTTTCTAGTGAGGAGTGGCCCACTAAGCATGAAGATTGGATAAAATTAGTACAAAGTTTGTGGAGACAGAGAGAGACTGATCAGAAAGCTGTGAGTCAGGTATTAAGAGAGATTCACAATGCTATGCAACAGGTAAGGAACACAAGAATGAATGATGAGAATGATCCAACAAAATGTTGCACATCCTCCTCTAGGTTGAATTAACTATACAGAAGACAAGGAAAATAATTGAGAATCATCTAGAACTTCATAACAAAACTCAATGATTAGTATAATTATACTATTGTTATTATTTTATATAATATATTGTTTTTTAATCAAAATGTTCCTCAATTGAAATTATCTACAAATTAATAATGCTCCTGGCTTCAAATATCTACTCTTATTATTAATGTTTAGTTACAATCATTATGTCCTAATAGAGGAATGGTCTAATGACTGATGTAGACTATGTGGCTCACTGCAGGTTACAGTATGACCAGGATATAGATACAGGTCTATGGCAATAAATAGCTCATTATTCCAAGGAACTAATCACTTGAAATACACATTGTCTTGACTTGGACTAAGCTCTAGACTACACTAAAAGCATTAAAAATGGCAGAAAAACCAATCATACTGGTTACTGGTTCCTCGGGTAATATTGGATCTGCTACAGTTGGAGTCCTGGCTGCAAGGTATGCTGATAAAGTAGAGATAAGAGCTGGTGTACGCAATCCAGACAAAATCCCAGCAAGGCCTGGTGTGACTGTTGTTCAAGCAGTAATGGGTGACAAGGATCAGCTCAGGGAGCCTCTCAAAGATGTTGATGCTGTTTTCATTGTCACTCCTACGGCTGAAGACAGAGCTGCACTGACTATTAAGACTGCAGAAGCTGCTAAGGAAGCTGGAGTCAAGTTCATTCTCATTGTCAGTGCTCCAAGTATGACTCACCCTGATGGAAGGGTAGAATATCTACCAACTTGCACTATTTTTGGTAAACAGTATCATGAGATTGACAGTCAAATCCCCAAGCTTGGCGTTCCTTACGCCTTTCTCCGTTTATCCATATTCATGGAAAACAACTTTGGGAAAAAAGATACAATTGTGGATCAGTCAACTTTTTATGCTTCCCAATCTCCGGACAAGCCAGCAATCTACGTTGCCGTTGAAGATGCTGCTAAAGCTGCTGCAGCGATCCTAACTGATTACTCCAAACACAATGGAAAAGAGTACAACATGCACAGCGACTGTTACACTAATGCAGAGCTAGCAGCTGCCTTCACCGAAGCATTGGGAAAAGAAGTCAAGTTTGTTCAAGTTCCACCTGAGACAGCAAAGCAAGCAATGGTGGGTAAGGGTTGGTCTGAATGGCACGTTGATGGAATACTTGAGATGCTGGAACTGATTGAAGAAGGAGATTCAATCCTTACTGTAGGAGACACTTGCACCTTAAGGTCACTGACTGGAGAAGAGCCAACCTCAATGAAGGAATGGGTCACCAAGAATGCTCCCAGTTTTAAATGAAGGACATAATTTAATCCTTCGATTGGCATCAAGTCATAACTATGTAATGCTGTATTGCATATTTATTTTTTACTTTTCGCTGTTTTTTTTGCTAATAATATTATTACTTTTGCTTCATTTATAACAAACAGTGTGATAACTCATTGGGTATATCGGAAATGGGCATTACATAAACAATTTCTCGTCCTAGTATTAGTTGACACAAAGATAATATGTTTATTTCAATCATAATTTTATTCATATAAAATAAAATAAAATAATCTCAAGACATTGGCGAGAATGAATTGAGTCTACTTGTACTCTTATATTGCAGTCCGTATTTTGCAGAGTTTCCTTCTAACGGCTTTTTTATTGAGCTAGTTTCATCCTCTTCTTTCCGAAGTCTTTTACAGCAGGGGAATAATTTTGCTCTTACCTTCTTAGTAAGAACTACAAATAGTATGGCATTAACGAATCCTTGTCCAGAATCACCAATACCCTAATGAAAGTAATAAAGTTGAAGAGTTTTGTGAACATTGCTTTAATTTTAAAAATTAAGTGCTACAGACAATAAGTAGCTTACTGATAGATATGTGAACAGTCCATGCCAAAAGGTTGGTAGACTTGTTTTGATGTAAACATAAATAGCAACATCAATCTGTGACCATATTCTCAAAAGAAGGAAAGCAACAGGAATCAGTAAGAGCTTGTAGTCAATTTTATGCAGTGCTTTCTTGTACAGGTCTCTTGCTATACCAAACTGTGATCTTGTCTTCTTTAGCTACAAGTGTGTGTAGAGTATTGTTTTTGTAATTGCAATAACTGTAGTTTGCTTGTCAGATAGGTTTCACTATATATGGTGATGGTGATGATTGTGTGCATAGATTAACTGAAATTTGCCATCAATGAGATTAGCCCAATTATTCTCGGACATAAATATAACTGAAATCAATAAAAAATTGAATTTTTTATAAGCTTGTTCACATCTTGTAAAAAGTACAAATTTTTTACAAGCTTGTTCACAAGTTCTAATTTTTTACAAGCTTGTTCACATCTTGTTAACACTTTGAGGTGTTAAATTTGTGTGTGTGTGTGTTATTGCTTACCTCTTGACAGATGAAGGACAATGCTGAAACATAGAGAACAGGGACGATGATGAAAATTATAAGTACCCACACTTGATAGCCGAAAAAATCCATTAGGACTTGTCTTTTCCCAGTTGAAAGGTCAATAAGTTGATTACCGCACCAACCCTCACTTGAAAATGGAGAGTAACCTAGTCTACGTGTTAGTCCTTCCCACATTACCACTCCTATTGGCAGCGTGTAAGAGATGATGGTGCACAGAAACAAAGCACGTCGGGCAGCTCCAGGCAACTGGTTGTGTACTATCCTCAGGTAGAGATATACTGCCATGCTGATTGTCCACAGGAAAGAGCCCAAGGTGAAGTAGATGGCAGCAAATCCTTGGACAATGCAACTGTAGTGTATGACACCAGAGACGTTGTTTAGTTTTGGAAGTCCAAATTCATACGAATCAGGTGAAGACGGATGGGGAAAGTAGTAAGAATCGAAATTGACGCATAACCCGACCAAGTTAGCCAGCCCTACACCCATGTCCATGAATGAGAGATGAACCAGTACCAGTCGTGGAGTTGTTCTCAGGCTTTTGAAACAGAAGTAGGTGAGAATGACTGCCAGCGAGCCCAAGATAGAGAGACAACAGGTCACCCCAAGGACACTCCTCAGGGCTTTGTCAGGAGTAAATGGTGCCATCACTGTCACGTTAGCTACAGTGGGAAAGGTGGAAGTATTTCCCACCATCTTCTTAGGAATTTGTGGATAGCTCTAATAAAATTAACTTTTAAAAATTCATAACTTTTACATTAATTTTTTTGCATAATAATTATCAATAAACCAACCACTAAAAATATAGAATTCTAAATAAAAATAGCATTGATAGTTACATTCACAGTGCAAAAATGTATCACTTAAAGTTTTCCAGTTGTCTATACTGGATTAAGACTGTAATATGATTACACACTCCCATAAGTAGCAGCTTTATCAATAGCAATTGGTTCATCAGTAGGTTCATCAGTAGGTTCATCAGTATCTCTTGTAAGATCATCCAGTCTAACAGGAACATGTCGTTCATTATATTTTTGTGGATTCTCCATACGATCGGCAATCCAATCTTCATCAACGACTAATGGCTCATTATCATCTCCTTCCTCAGTATTAACTCGCAAAGTATCCTTACGACGTTTGTAGTAGTAGAAAATTTTTTTGCCGAACATTGACATTATGTATATTGGTAAAATTATTCCAAATATCAGACCACTAAAAAATACTGATGATAATGATGACCAGGATAATGCTAATGGTGTATGATTTAGATTCGAAGTAAATGAAGCATAAATGAAAATTATTATGAAATACAAGAATAGTACTTCAAAAAAACTATGAATATTTCTTTGGAAAGGTCGAAATATTGTAATCATTATTGCCAATATAGATGCAATGAAGGCTGCAGATGGTCCAAAGTAATAACATGGATATGATGCTGGTAGAACTATCAAGAGAAGAGCCAAGGCAATTATTCTCACCAATAGATATAACCCGGCAAAGAAACGATAATCATAGGTGCCATTAGTTCCATTCTTATAAGGACCAGTAAACACATCACCCAGTGATATCAGTAGCTGTTTCCTCAAATGTAACCAATCCAATAACTTATGAAACCATTTGAATGGATAAAGGAGTAAATAAAGTGTAGGAAGGAGTATAAAAAGCAATAAAATTAAAACAGAAAATAAAGTTGCTGCTATATGAGGTCCCTCAAAATATTTTTGATTAGCATCGTAGAAAAAAAACAAATGGTCAGTTGGACTAAAACGAAGTAATTTAAAGGATATTAGAGCTAACTGAGTGAAGCAGAGTATATATATTGATGCTATAGAGTGAGTAAAAGATGGTTCAATGCCAGTCATACTCCAGAGGCGAGCCATGCAACGATGAAATGGTCTAGTAACCAATACTACACACTTGTAACTTTTATCATACAATGTTATCCAAACATAGAGTAAG